TCTGTTGGTTGACACTCAACATGTGACCGCCACCACATTTTGGCGTTCCCTTGAAACTGATAACTCACGAACTCAACACCAAACCGTTCTACAATACCCATCTTGTGTAGTAGCTCATGACAGTCAACCAGAAAATCGTAAGCATCCTCAGATTCAGTACCCTTGAAGACTGGAGGTTTCAATTTCAAGAACTTACTGAAAAGTTCATGCTGATCATTTGTCATTATAGGCCCAGTAGTCAGACGTGGAAACGTGCCTATATCTAATGAGGCATCCATACGAGGAGCCATAGTGGCTGCATGTTGTACCTCTGAAATAGGAGGTGTTGGTGCAGAAAACACTGGAGGTGCCTGACCTTGATCAGACAACCCACTGAGATAGGCGAGAACCTGATTGACCATCTCTGGGGTAGGTTGGGGTGGCAATCCCTCATTCTGCACTTGTTCATTTTCCCCATCCTCCCCTTCTCTTATTACTTCCTCAGTCGGTGGAGGAATCACCGCCCTAGTATCAGATGGGCTAGGTACTCGTCCTCTTCCTCTAGAGGACGTCCTCCCACGACCTCTACCACGGCCTCTTGTCGCTACTCTTCCTCGAGCTACAGCCCCAGTGGCTGGCTCGGACGCACCCTGTCCCGCTGGTGCTGGTGTTAGTGTTGGCGTAGTCGTTGCTCTAGTTCTAACCATCTGCGAAATAGAGTGAAGATGGTCAGATACCAATTTGTATCACCTAGATACCAATTGGACCCAAGTAATAGCACGAAAGAAGAAAGAAAGAATGGAATTTTCCTAAAGTCTTATAGCCTCTCAAGGAAAAGTAAAGGCGTCCCCCTACCGTTCCTTAAGACTCTACTAGACTCGTTCTTGTGTGATGAGACCAACGAACCTAATGCTCTGATACCAAGTTTGTCACGACCCAAACGGGGTTGCGACTGGCACCCACACTTACCCTCCTATGTGAGCGAACCAACCAATCTAACCTTAACATTTCAATATAATATCAACAGAAAGTAATACGGAAGACTTAAACTCATTAAATAAAGACCAATTCATTAACTTCTAAAATTCAACATCTATTATTCCCCAAAATCTGGAAGTCATCATCACAAGAACATCTACGATCAAATGACTAAACTAAGAGTATTCTAAAAGCTAAAAATACATAAGAAGCTAGTCCATGCCGGAAGTTCAAGGCATCAAGACTTGAAGAAGAAGATCCAGTCCAAGCTAGAAGCATTAGCTCACCCTGAATTTCCGATGTAGTAAGACTGGCTTGAGTTACTGTTGAGTTGAAGACGATGGCACGTTTGCTACACTCCACAAATAAACAAGAAGAAAACATAAAAGTAGGGGTCAGTACAAAACACGGGTACTGAGTAGATATCATCGGCCAACTCAAAATAGAAATCAATATATACCAAGTAATATCATAAAATCAACTATGATACTCAACATGTAGCAACAACAAATACTATATCATTAACAATTACCGTCAAGTTCACACATGAGGACTCAAGCCTCGATACCATACTCATTTGGAAATCATGTTCATTAGATTGAGTATATTAACATCTTTCAAGATTCATTATCTTTATTTCTCTTGTGTCGGTACGTGACACTCCGCTCCCTCAATATTCATTAATCCTCTTGTGTCGGTACGTGACACTCCGATCCCCTAAATCTATGTGTCGGTTCGTGACACCCGATCCCCTAAATCTACGTGTCGGTTTGTGACACCCGATCCCCTAATACTACGTGTCGGTTCGTGACACCCGATCCCCTAATACTAATACTACGTGTCGGTTCGTGACACCCGATCCCCTAATTCTACGTGTCGGTTCGTGACACCCGATCCCCTAATCTCCTTCCATCAATTCATCAAGCCTTCTTTCTTACCAAGGCATCATCAATCTCATTACTTTAGTTCATCAAGCCTTCTCCCTTACCAAGGCATCATCATTAAAAAGAGATTAGGTTTTTATCGAGATTTGGAATTCAATAACTTCATCATGCTTAATATAATCACAATTATATAATCACGTCCATGCATGCATACAATTAAGTACATAGCAGGGTTTACAATACTACCAATACATATCATTCTCTATTAAGAGTTTACTATGAAAGCATGAAAACCATAACCTACCTCCTCCGAAGACTAGTGATCAAGCAAGCAAATTCCCAAAGCTTTGTGTTTTCCTCTTCGTTTCTCCTCTCTCTCTCTTTGTTCTTTCTATTTTTCTTTATTCAAACCCTCTTTCTTTTACCCTAATTAGTATATAATTAAGAATAAAAGATAGCAATAATGACCCACTAATTAAATTAAGGTTACCTCTTTTAACCCCCAAGTAATTAGACTTATTAACATTAACCCACTAACTTTATAATTAAAGCAGGAATAGTCAAAAACGTCCCCTAAAACGTATCAAGAAATCCGACCCAGACTGGGATTACGCAGTCTGTGACGGCCCGTCGCGCCTGCGACGGTCCGTCCTGCTGCCCCGTCACAGAGTTCAGAGACTCAATTTCTCTGAAGAGTCTGTGACGGTCCGTCCTGCCATTCCGTTACGAAGGTCAGAGAGTCAATTTTCAGTACCTAATTTCAGATTTTCTAAGTGTTTTGAAACGAGACCCTGCGACGGTCCGTCGTGCCCATGACGGTCCGTCGTGGGGTCTGTCGTTTCTGCCAGTTTTTCCAGAATTGAAGTCTGCTGCTCAAAACGACTAAACAGGTCGTTACAATAGCAGTTATTCATAAATATCCTGATTTTCAAAATATAAATAATAAAACTTTATACATCTTAGTTTTAAATATTTATAGTTAACTAATTAGTTTAAAGTGTTTGTGGAAAAAAATTTAATACACATTCATTAAAAAAGTTGAAAGGTTGTGTTCTCCTTCACTCAAAGTTAACTTACACTTTTTTCTAGCATTATTCTACCAATAAAGTTAATCTTACGCTATTTTTTCTAGCATTATTCTACCAATAAAATGAAAATATCGAGAAATTTAATTAAGATAGTTGTTATTTTTCCTTTTAGCTTTGCAAACTTATTTTTTGAATTATAAACAAAGTTTGTTTTATTAATTTCTCATATTATTATCTCGACGCATTCACTTGGAGGTCAGAAAATTGGAGTGTCACAATTTAGTAAAAAAAAGTAAGAAATATCAATTAGACATATTTTATTATTGGGAAAAGGGTCAAATATGCCCCTAAATTATTAAAAAAGGTCTAGATATACCCTCCGTTTAAAGTTTGGTTCGCTGATGCCCTCGCCGTCCAACTTTTGATCCAAATAAGCCCTTATGGGCGTTAGTTGCCATGTTGGACATATCCAACTCATTTTTTATTTCTTTAAATGCCACATGGAATTGCCATGTCATTTTGGCCTTACCACATAACATTTATATGAAAATGGAAAGATATTCGGACTCATAAACATCTAATCCAACCCCCTTTTAAATAAATTATCCGACCAATTTTCAACAATTTTATTTAATTTTTATTTTTTCGATAAATTTCGAAAATGAGTAATTGATTAATAAAAAAATAGCAAAATATGAAAAAAGTACAAAATTAACGCCAAAAATTCATAAATAATTATAGTAATCTTAAATTCAATTTAAACACTTTTTTTAATTTTTTAATTTTTTTTGATAAATCTCGAAATGAGTAATTGATTAATAAAAAGTATGAATAATATAAAATTAACGCCAAAAAATTAAAAAATAAATATAGTAACCTTACATTCAACAATTTCAACATTTTTTAAATTTTTAATTTTTTCGACAAATCCCAAAAATGAGTTTATTAACAAAAAATATAAAATTACGCAAAAAATTCAGAAATAAAAAATATGAAAATAAGAAAAAAAATATAAAATAATTTTTTTTTGAAATTATTGAATTTAAGTTTACTATATTTATTTGTGAGTTTTGACGCATATTTTTTTTCTTCATATTTTTTTATTAAAAAATTACTCATTTTCGGGATTTACCGAAAAATATAAAAATTTCAAAAAAATTGTAGATTGAAATGTTACTTTATTTATTTGTGAACTTTTGGCGTTAATTTATATTTTTTTTCATACTTTTCATATTTTTTATTAATCAATTACTCATTTTCGAGATTTATCGAAAAATAAAAAAAATTTAAAAAAATTGAAATGTTAGATTTAAGGTTACTATATTTATTTGTGAATTTTATATTTTTTCATATTTTTTATTAATCAATTACTCATTTTTGGGTCGGATTAGGTGTTTATGAGTGCGAATATCTTTCCATTTTCATATAAATGTTATGTGGTAAGGCCAAAATGACATGGTAATTCCATGTGGCATTTAAAAAAATGAAAAATGAGTTGGATATGTCCAACATGGCAACTAACGCTCATAAGGGCATATTTGGACCAAAAGTTGGACGGCGAGGGCACGAGTGAACCAAACTTTAAACGAAGGGTATATCTAGACCTTTTCGAATAGTTTAGGGGCATATTTGACCCTTTTCCCTTTATTATTTGGCATAATACATATATTGGACCCTAAACTTCATTTCAAATTTTAACTTTGACCTCCAACTTTCATAATGCACAAACAAATATTTTAACTATCCAACTTTTAAATAAATAAACACATAAGTCCTACATGACAAAATACATGTAGGACACCACGTAGGACAAAAAAAGGCATGTAGAATGACATGTGTGTGTATTTGTTCAATTTTGTACAAACTTAAGTGTATGCTTATGCACACCCAAAGTTGAAAGGCATATATATGATTTGAAGCCAAGTTAAAGGGCATATTTATGTATTATGCATTTATTATTTAGTAGTATTATCTTTTAAGAAATAATAAACTCATGGATTACACGCGCAAAGCGCGTGCCCAGAAACTAGTCTAGTAATATGGGCGAATTTCCTTTTTTCCGATAGAATCTTAAATAAACATGTCAAGAAATATTGCTCGTGTAATTCAATTTTCTTCATAGTAATATCGAGTCAAATTTTTTTTAAGCAAAGATAGTGTATTTCATTATTCTCCAAAAAGTGTATATGAAGGGAAAACACAAAGCATTGTAGACCCCTTAACTGCTTTTGGAAATAGCTAAATGATATCTTTATTACAATTGAGATAATTCAAATGAATGCTTATGGAAGAAGAGTATCTAGTCCTACACAGGCCTTCTACATCATCTTGTTCCCTAGTGGATTGTTAACTGGTGTTTGTTGGATTGTTTTCCTTTTTGTCAAATAAACCTCTAGAGCAGATTTAGCTCTAATTTATTTGTGGTTGGAATTTGTCCTTTCTTCTCTAATTATAATTTTACCCTTTTTTTTCACCAGAATTAACCATCAGGCTAAACTCGAAAAGGCGCAGACTTGAAGATCCAGCTGAACTTGCGAGCTCAAGCACGAACCCTTGTAACAAAAATGAGGTACAAAGTCCAACAACTCCAGATCCAATGGTTGAAAGCATTTATAAACAAATCAGAAATTTTAAGCCAAACAACACAGGAAATAGCATTGTACTGCATCAACGGGAACCTGCGAAAACAGCCGGCGCCTGGTGGACGTCGTTGAGCTTCTTCACGAGCTCAGCACATAGGCTCCTCGAGCCCTTTGTATGTTCATTGAGTTTGAAACATGAGATGAATTAAATCAAGTAACATAAACAAACACAAGATCAACTACTATTGACAGGAAGATTACACACAATGTAGTATTGCAGTAAAAAGCGATTATCATCAAATTTACATTTAACATGCTTCCTTACCCTGAGAGATTTCATTATTCACAACAACATAAATATAAAAGGATAGATTGTAAGAGAGTTCATTATTCACGTCTTAACAAGGAGTTTAGGTGAAATATTTACAAAATGATAGATATAATACTAATATTTACTAGTTAGCATTTTGTACGTTCTGGAATGACCAGGATGTGCATTCAGGTTTAGCTTCTGAGATCTGAACTCGTATCACCTCATGTACCGCACCTCGATGAAGTACCCCAAGAACTTCTTCCTCCTTCCCTGTTGCAAGATCTTCTAAAGAGACAGTACGCGTGATTAATTCATCACGCAGGCGAAAACCAAACAACCACCTCCCAAGCTTCCACCATTGAACACGTACTTCCCTTTGTGAGATATTGCTCTTATTTAGGATTTCCATGACACATTCTCCCTAGTAAATAAGAATGAACATCAAATAACTTTGATAAGCTAATTCCAGGTTAATGGAACACAATTCTTAGACCACGAGAATAGAATTTTGCTCAACAACAGATGACCAAGAGGCCCTGCTTAATCTTAGACTAATTCTGCAAGTCTTGGAAGTGTAACTTCCTCCATAACATAGACCGTACACCTGATACTAGATCAAGTTTAATCACTGACATAGATAAACATTAGTGCCAATTGCACCATCGACAGAAGTGGAGAGAGCACATAACTTCGTAAGGCAAACACTAACTGAAGGCAGCTAAAACAAAACCGGACTCTTGCTAACCAAACAAATCATTTTCGCTGGAGTGACCACATCTTTACACGGTCTTTACTTACAACCATAAGCTATAGATATTGATGTCTAAATTAGCTTCAGTTGCAGTAGGTAGGAGTTTTGTGATCCTCAATATAGTATACCAAAATGGTGAGTCCCACTAAAATGCAGAGAGAGAGAGAGAGAGAGAGAGAGGGAAGCAACATATTAATTAGGTTACATTTCAGCATGTACATCCACTTTAGGATGCAATATGTATATCAGGAGAAGAATCAATATTTGTACAAAAGAAATATATCAAACATTGAATAACACAAGAAAGAACAAATAAGTGAGTGGCCTAAGTTGTGCGTACTCTTCAGTTTCGATGCTACACCCGTGTTGGATTCTCCAAAAATGCACTACTTTTTGGAGAATCCGACAGCACGCATTGACATGTTTGGAAGAGTCCAAGCAACACAATTACTAGCCAATATCATGAGTTGAGACTTACTGACTTTTTGATACTTCAACTAACTAGAATACAAACTCAATCTATTTGCAGTGCACAGTTAAAAGTTTCCACCGCCCCGAGAAGGACAATAGAAAGTTTCAAATCACAGTGGAAAGACTCTGCTAATATGAGTCAATTAAAGATCTTAGCTCTAATGGCAGCTCAAGCAGTACAACACAAATAAATTATGTCATTTATTTTCCAACAAAATTCATCATGTGGGAAGATTCAAGTGGTATAACACTTAATTCACAGACAAACATAAAGAAAAAACCGGTGTCAACAAATTTGTAACGAAAACATTAAAGTAAATTGAATAAATTCATAACGAAAGCAGGGCATTTGATTACCGGCAGACCAAGCCAGATAAGGCAGTAGTGCAAACCAATCAAGTTCAGCAGCACACTGTGCTTGGATTTCAGGAAGAATGTATAGACATCTTCAAACGTGAAAAGGATCGAATCCAGATCTCTTACTGCTTTCAGATAATGCCCCACCTCAATCGACTCAAATGCCAAGCATCGATTGACAAAATCAATTACCCCTTTTGCTTTTCCTGCCATTTCATTGTGCTTCTTAATATAAAACACTCTCCATTCCTGCATTATTTGCATCAAGATACAAGTTTCAAACACCAAACATGTATAAAAGGTGAAATATGTATACTAACCTCATGGGGCTGGTTATTATAAGACTCAATCTCAAGAGCAAGAGCAGGCCATCTTTTTTTACAAAGACATTCCCATATATAATCAGACCCACACAGCTTCCGCCAAAACCGAGAACAACTTCCCAACGAGCAAAGATCACTTACCTTCAAAATTATAGTTCAAAAACCCAGAAATCAGAAAGCAAATTAATTCTAATACCCTAGCAAAATCAGGAAGCTGGAAGAAACAATTTTTTTAACAAAACAGAAAGTAAAAAAAGAAATTCAGCAAAGCAAAACAAACATAGTCATTAAGAATATGAAGAAGACAACGATTTTCAACACAGTAATCAGAAAAGCCAATTAATTCCAACAAAGTAGCAAAATCAAGAAAAGAGAACAATAAATTCAATTCCGGATAATCTGGGAAGAAGAAAGAAAGTAGAATCAATAAAACTTTTCCATACAGAAAATGGAAAAATAGGATTACTTACCTTCAGAGAAGAAGCAATTTTGATGGCTATATCATCGGGAATTGATTGTTGTGAAGACAAGGATGAGTCCATCGTAGCTCAGAAATTTTCAGCTCAGCTACGAAAGTGAAGGTCCATTTGGGAAAAAGGAGATGATCTTCACCGTCCTCCTACGTCATCAAACACGTGCCCATCATCCACAAAATCAAAACAATGACGTTTGACTATTTTCTACATTTTAATTTTCTAAATTTATATTATAACACAAGTTAATAAAAATGATTTCTCTTAAGTATGTATTTTCTTGGGTTTGATTTTGTAAAATCGTAACAGGTTAATGATTTTAATCTCTCATAAAATACGTAAGTGTGATTTGTTTTCTTCTGACTAAGGAAATTTTAGAAAGAAACGAGTAAAATTCAGATTGGGCCATTTTTAGGTTTTTGGGTTGTAAAATGAAAAATTAACATTTCAGGCACGGGATAAATATCAAGTTGTAATTATACTCTTTAAAAATAAACTAGTGCATATTATTATCATTTTATAGCACATTAATTGATAATATATTAATTAAAAAAATAATTTAAAAATAAATTATTTATAGTATGTTATTATCAAGTTATAGCATATTAGCTAATAATATATTAATAAAAAAATTATTTTATTATTTAACTAATAATTATTATGTATAAATAATTAGTTTCATTTATTCACTTACTTTTTATCAACAAAACCTTTTAAATTATTACTGATTAATCAATTACCTTTTAAAGTTTTTAATATAAATAATAAATTATTAAATTTTAATCAATTATCTTTTAATGTTTTTAATATAAATAATAAATTATTATTTATTAAATATTAATTAAACTTCATATTATATAGTTACCTTTTAAAAAATAAAATCTAAAAATTAGGGATTTGATTTTAATTAATTTCATATTATATGGTTAACCAATAACTACCCACCCCCATATCAGCCAATACTCTTTTATCTTCCCCAATACACTCAACCTCTCCCCACGCGTGAAGTTATTTCATATTCCCCAAAAATCGCGCCTCAATCATCACTTCAAACAAAAAAAGCAGTCACTTTGTCATCTTTCTCAAATCCGCATCTTCCCCAAAATTTCTCATATCAGTTCATCCTAAAACACAAACTAAAATCTCAGATCCGTTCCCCATTAGTTTTATAGACAATGTCGAAAAAAGGTAGTGAAAAGCCAAGAAAAAGTAAAAGATTGGTCGATGAGGAAGACGAGTTTCATGCTCCTTCATTCGATATATTGTCCAAATCTCAAACTCAGAAATTGAAGGGGGAAAAAATCAAAGAGAAAAAGGAAAGAGGCAAGAAGCGGAAAGGAAAAGAAATTGTAACATCGTCAGAATCCGATTCTGACTTTGTTGATGTAGTAAAAAATACAAAATCGAAAAAATCAAAAGGCATTGAAATTGATCGTTCAACAACGAAGTCATCAAAAAAAAAAGATGCAGAGATTCAAGAAAAAAATAAAACAAAAAAAGTTGATAAGTTTAGTAAAAAGTTTATTTCAAAATTGAATTTACAATGTGTTGTTTTAGTGTTTTTATTTTTTTTATATTATTTGTCAATGGTGTACTACATGAATTTTGTATGATATATATATATCAATTGAGTATTATTTTATTTTTCAAAAGTCACAGATTTTTTTTTGAAATCGAATATGTATTTTATTAATATATGAATTGTATATGAATTGTGTATGAATTGTGGCATATAGTTGTATAAATTGGAATTGAACTGTGGCATTTAGTTGTATGAATTGTGTATGAACTATAGCGTCTAGGTGTATAGATGAAATTGTGATATAAAGTTGTATGCATTGTGGATGAAACTGCAGTATTAATATTATATTTTTTTTGTTTGAATACTGTATGAAGTTTTTGTATGATTTGTGTATGAAATGATTTGTGGTATATAGTTGTATGATTTTTATATACAGTTTTATAGTATATAAAAAGTAATAATTCATTTTTACAAATTTTATAGGAGAAGAAGGTTCAAACACATTTATCTTCATGTATCAACATAATGTGTTGGCTGATTTGTTGACCTTCCTCGGTCAAGATAAGTTCCAGCAATTTTTACAAGAAACTCCATTTGATATTTTTATGATTTACATAACATAAAATCAAATGTCAATTGTTGAGCCATATTTTTCTTCTTGAATCTGAAAATGGAAGGGATGACATGTTCATTATCAATGTAAATGGTACAGAGTTACATTTTGACTTAAAAGAGTTTCTCGTTGTAACCGGTCTAAAATCTGATCCAATTTCTGATTTTATTTTTGATCCATCTGTTCCAAATAGATTAATTGCATAAAATTTCGGAGAAATGGACAGATGTTCCTCAACTGGAAGAAAGTTCCAAGTACGTAATCTCTATATTATATCTAACTCTTATATTTAGTTAATATAAAAAATTTCTAATTTGATTTTTGTTACAGTGATTGTGGTCTGTACACCTCTCTTTTTGCTGAATATATCAGCAATGATATTTTTGATTTGTTAGATGAGAAAAGACATAAAGACACCATCGAAGTTGTCCCATATTTGCATAAAGACACCTAAATTTTTAAAGTGTCCTATCACACCACTAAACAACTATATATCATTGTAAATTGACCATTTTTACTTATTCCGTCGTCTATGTAATGCGCGTGTTGCTCACTCTCT